CTTGAATGAAATGATGGATTCCTTGCTAGATGCAAAGCGCTTTGACTGTCACAAAACAGAGAGACATACTCTTTCTTGTGCCCAAGCTCCTCCAATAGCATCTTCAACCAAATTGCTTCTTTACTGGCTTGTGTAGCTGCTACATATTCTGCCTCTGTTGTGGATGTAGCCACAACTGACTGTAATTTTGAAACCCAGCTTACAGCTCCACTAGCAACTTTAAACACATATCTTGTAGTAGATTTTCTTTTATCCAAATCCTCTGCATAGTCAGAATCAACATACCCATTGATAAATAAGTTTGATCTTCTGTAATATAATGCAACATTTGAGGTCCCTTTGATGTATCTCATGATCCTCTTTACTGTATTTCAATGCTCTATGCCTGGATTCGCCATGTACCGACTAACCACTCTCACTGCTTGTGTAATGTCTGGTCTTGTGCATATTATAACGAACATTAAACTTCCCACTACTGATACATACGGTACTCGAGACATCTCCATCATCTCTTCTTCACTACTAGGACTCATACTGGAGGATAATTTGAAGTTAATAGGAAGAGGGGTAGAAATTGGCTTACAATCTTGCATGTTGAATCGTGACAAGATCTTCTTCAAGTAATTCTTTTATGAAAGCCAAATCTTCCTATTACTTCTGTCTCAGTGTATTTGCATCCCTAGAATATTGTTTGCTGATCCCATGTCCTTCATTTTAAATTCCCTAGCCAATTGTGCCTTCAATTCTTCAATATGATCTTTGTTGGGTCCTGCAACTAACATGTCATCCACATACAATAGCAATATAACAAAATCGTTATCACCGGACCTCTTGAAATAAGCACAAGGGTCTGCATTAAGTCTATTGTATCCAAGGCACATAATGAAGGAATCAAATCTCTTATACCAACACCTCGACGCCTGTTTTAGACCGTACAGAGATTTTTTCAACCTGCAAACCAAGTTCTTCTTTTCTTTTTCTTCAAAATTTTTAGGCTGGAGCATATAAATCTCTTCTTCAAGATTTCCATGAAAAAAATCTGTTTTAACATCTAGCTGCTCTAGATGTAAGTTCAATGTAGCACACATTGCCAAAACTACTCGAACTGTTGTTAGTCGAACCACATGAGAAAATATTTCATTGAAATCAATACCTTCTTTTTGAGCATATCCTTTGACCACCAGTCTTGCACGATACCTCTCAACTTGATCGTCACCATTTCGTTTGATTCCCATTTGTTACCAATTGGCTTCCTTCCTTGTGGTAGTGGCACAAGGTCCCATGTATTATTTTTATGAAGGGCTTCAATTTCCTCTTGCATCGCCATCATCCATAGTGAAGCATCTAAGTTGTTTATTGTCTCCTGGTATGTTGATGGCTCACCGTACTCTGTTAAAAGGCAGTATGCAATATTACCTTCTATAATATAATCTGAGTGCCAATTATGACGTCTTCTCACACGATCTGATTGACGAGTTGTTGGAGCTTCAGAACTCTCTGGTTCTTGTTCATCATGTGCTGGTTCTGCTTTAAAAGAATCTCCTTGTTCAAACTCCTTTTCCATGTGTATCTGTGTAGTCTCTGACTTTTCAGCGTTACCATCTTCTTCTTTTCTTTGTAGCTTATCTTCTACAAATATAACATCCCTGCTGATGATCACTTTGCGGGCAATGAGATTCCACACGCGATACCCCTTGACTCCATCAGCATACCCCAAGAATTTGTATTTCCTGGATTTTGGATCCAGGTTTGAGATTTCTTGGGAGTTGTACATCACGTACACAATACTTCCAAATACATGGAGGTTTGAATAACCAGTTGGTTTACCAGTCCACATCTCCATTGGTGTCTTCAGCTCTATTGCAGTTGATGGAGCTCTATTCACCAAATAACAGGCGGTATTGACTGCTTCTGCCCAGAATGATTTTTCTAGGCTTGCATCCCTTAACATTGCTCTTGTTCTTTCTAACAAGGTTCTGTTTATCTGCTCTGCCACTCCATTTTATTGAGGTGTGTTCGCCAATGTGAACTGTCTTTTAATGCATTCTTTCCTGCAAAAGTCATCAAATTATTCACTTGTGTATTCTCCTCCATTATCTGTTCTGAAATACTTGATCTTATTTCCAGAATCAAGTTGAAAACACGTCTGACTTTTTCTTAATAGGGTACACCCAACATCTCCTGGAGTAGTCATCAATAAATGAGACAAAATATTTTGCTCCTCCTAGGGATGTAACCGGTGCTTGCCATACATCAGAATGAACCAATTCTAGAACACTTTTGCCTCTAGAATTTGACGTGTTGAATTTCAACCGGTGCTGCTTACTTGTTATGCAATGCTCACACAAAGTAAGTGATACCTTCGTTAAGCCTGAAAGTAGCTTTTGCTCCACAAGGACTTTCATTCCTTGTTCTGACATGTGTCCAAGTTTCTGATGCAATAGCATTGCAGAATCTGAACTACATGAGGCAACAGAGGCTTCTTCTTCTAGCAAAGTCCCTCCCTTCAACATGTACAAGTTTCCTGCTATCTTTTCGCCTTTCAGCCCAATGAACACCTTCATGATTCATTTTCGTGTTTCAATCTTGCTTGTATTATTATCCAACAATCCGTAGGATAATAAATTTTTCTTCAGGCCTTTCACGTGCCGCACATCTTGAACAACTTTAATTGTTCCATCATATATCTTCAATTTGATGGTTCCCATGCCAATGATCTCTAAGGCATGATCATTGCAACTATACACAGATCCTCTTGAGACATGTTCATAATGATGAAATCATTCTCTTCTTGAGGTCATGTGATATGTTGATCCCGAATCAATGAGCCATGTGTTTGTATATATCTTTCTACCTTCCACGGTGGTTGACGCTTCACAGCATAGAGCATCTCCATCATCTAAAGTGTTTGCGGTATTGCCTTTTGGATTGAAGTTTTTATTTAGACTCAAACTATCCTTCTTCAAGTGACCCTTCTTTCCACAGTTGGAGCACTTTAAATTCTTCTTGCTTCTCGACTTCGATCTGTTTGTGACTGCTGCTTTGGCCATGTTCTGTTGATCTCCCTCTCATCGTTGTCATCGTTGTTAACGCTTCTTCTTGTTGCAGATTTACTTATATATCTTCTTTGTTCTTACGCTGATTTTCTTCTTGTAGAACAGCAGCTGCAACGTCATCGAAGACTAGACTGGTGACATTACTGTTTGTCAAGTTGATGATGAGTTGATCATACGAATCCGGTAGACTTTGAAGTAGAAGTTCAGCACATTCTTGTTCTCCTATTTTACAGCTTAAAGATGTAAGCTGAGAAAATAAAGTGTTCAGTGTATTTAAGTGCTCCGTCACTGAAGTAGATTCTAGCATACGGAGAGTGTACAATTTTCTCTTAAGGAAAAATTTATTGTGCAGTGATGTGGCCTCATACAATTTGGTGAGATGATCCCATATCTCCTTAGCTGTCTTTTTCTCCTCGATGCTTGACAATACTTCATCTGCTAATGCTAGATGAAAGTTTGCCATAGCATTCCCGTCCATTTCGTTCCATTTGTTGTCATCTATGAAATCCACAGGCCTTTCACTGATAGCTGCTAGACAACCGTCTTTCCTCAGGATAACCTTCATCTTCAATTTCCACAATGAAAAATTTCTCCCATTTAATTTTTCAATATCAAATTTCATTGTCATAGCTTCTATTACATATAACTCTCACTATTTTACTATCGTGAATAGTTCTCTGGAATCTTCAAAGAATGGGTAATACTTTCTTACTTTCTTATGTTGGAGGATCCACCTTTTGATGGCAACCACAGAGACAATAAGCAGATATTATAGACTCAAATCTGACTCTAATACCAATTGTTGCGTAAGACAACTATCGGATAGAGCAAAATCGCAACTAATAATTTGATAAAATAAAAATAAAGATAAAAGAAACATAAATTTTTACATAAAAAACCCCTAAATAATATAGGGTAAAAATCACGGGCAATGATATAAAAATTTCATTATGAGAAAATAAGAATTACAACTTCTCTCTATCTACCAATGAGAAAACAATGATAATTCTCTCTTGATAAAAATGAGAAAACAACTCTCAAGAAACTCTCTAAATTCTCTCTAGTATTAGAAGAAAACTAGAATGCTTTGGAATGATTTTGAAGCTAATGAACTAGAGTTATAATTGATGTCTAAGGACTAATTTATAAATACCCTAAAGTATAATGACTAAATTGAATTATCCCATTTAATATTTAAACAACAAAATTTCATGCACCTCTCGATGCATTAATTATTGGATAATAATGTGGCCAACTTGGCCACTTGTTGGCTGGCCGACTTTCCAATAATTAGATACTAAAATTTTAAGTATTTCATAAGAAAATAGTTGTATTTAAAAGTATATTAAAAAAACTATCCCAAATAACAAATAATATTTTCTAATTTGTTAAGGGATTAGAGTATTCATGGAACACTTGCCCATTGAGAGATGTTGACCTAATACGAATCGTGATCATGATAAAATGTACTTTTATTGAAAGATTAAAAATTGATGAAACACACTCTCAGTCCAATGTTTCAAGTAGAGGAAAGCAACTTGAGCAAAGGCAATTCAGTAGGGGGAGAATAATAAGAAATTATTAGATTGTTTACTGGTAACGCAACACGACAGTAGAATACTATAAAGTTAAAATTGATGTGCAACGAAACAGTGTATCTTGTAGCTTAGTCAATCCACAATGATTGTCGTCTCCTCCGTTTCTTATCATCTTCACTTGACTGCAATTTCAGACAATAAAACTCCACATTAGATCCTACTCGAATCACTATTATTCTTTTCAATTCAACCTTTTAGTTGAGAAATCTTGAGTTATCAATCGGATTGTGGACCGAGAATAGTTCCATTACTTGAATTATATGGAGTATAACATGGCACCAAGAACAAAATTAGCATCAAATCATATGTACAGCACGGTTCGCTCCTATCTGAATTTCCTTCTAATCAATTTCTCCTATAAAAACTATACCTGTTGACTCCCACAATTTGGTGCTTGAATCCTCTTGGACCCATCAGCCATACGCTTGCGCGGAATATGGTTCTCCACGGAAGCCAAGCTCTCACTCAACTGCCCAACGTTTTGTAAACCCTTAAATAAACCCTTAACGAGAGTGTAAAATGGCTACTTACCTGGCTTTTAATGCACCCAATTAACGACTCATTGCATCCTGATGCATGCACATTACGTAAACTCGGGCATTGAAGTAGCAATTTCTCTAAGAAATACAGTTTATAAAACAAAAACATAAGAAAATAAGAACATGATTAACTGACAAAGTAATGACGATGTTCGAGCTAGAAAGTAGGATACCTGGATGCAAGTTTTTACAAGAGTTGAGATTAAGATCGTTGAGTTCTGGACAACTTAAACATAAAGCCTGCATTTTAGATTAACACATGAGAACCACGAGAAGAAATTAAGAAAATACTAACAATATGTTCAAGATTATAGGCTAAAAGATCTCACGTCCAAGCCAGAACAACCCCACAAGCTGAGTTTTTTTAATCGGCTGTGTTTGATGATAAGTTTCTGGTACATAAGGTGCAGTTTGCTGTTCAATACATTCGGAGGTTCGTCGTTGCCAGGTGAATTCTGGGAGTCGATATCGCATATGGTCATCCCACAATCCATGAGTTCAAGAAGAGGTAGTTGAGCAGCGGCGAACTGAATTCCACCTGAGAAATGCAGATAACATCTTGAAGTATTAATGAATAGATTTACCTAAAATTGGACAAAGAGCAAGGAGTTAGATTACTTGAAGTGATATTCGGACAAAGAGCAAGGAGGAGTCTTGACAATGTGTTGGGGAACACATTGCATATCATTCCGATGCCACTGTCGGTAATACTTGATCTGAAACCAACCACCAAGCATCAGGATGTATGGCGCTGAAGATTGATTGGTAATGGCAATCATTTTTGGATGAATTAATTAAAGCTTACAGCAAAACATACCCACTCAGATCAAGTAATTCTAATTTTGAATAGCTTGAAGCAATAGCAGCAACAGATGCATCCGTGATTTCTGATCCAAGAACAAGAGAAAGCATCCGCAAGCCCCTGGATAATAGACAATCGTTATCAAACCGTTAATTACTTAACATCCATATGCACAAGTCCATGAAACAAAACAGAGAAATGCTACTACTCGATATAGCAAAGCTTTGAAAAGATCCATAATGGTGGTACTGGATTAAAATGAACATGTAGACTAAAAGATTCAAGAAACCTCAAGTTTGCAGCTGTAAGAGAAAGAACAACGGCATGTGAAAGTCGAACTGATGCAATGTGTATATTTTGCAACCTTGGACAACTTCCCATAGCATCAACCAGGGTAATAAGATCGGTTGAATCATTTTCTTGGCGAGAAAATTCTAAGGATATCTCCTTCAAGTTGGGACAATTCAGAACCTACAAAAGGAAGCAAATGAAAACACAAATTCACTTAAATGCCCCAGAAATATTAAATTAAAGCATAAAATGGACTTGTTGAAAAAAGTTACCGTCTTAGAAAGAGAATAAAGATCAGAAAGCCAAAGTGTAGAAAGACTTGATGAAGACAGCACAAAGCTCCCTAAATTGGAACACCCTTCCATCTTAAGGCTCACCAGACAACGTTTATCGGCAACAAAACGACCCAATTCATCTCTATACGTACAAAATTAAAGAGAGTAAATCATAATAAACTGATCTGGCATTTTTTTAAATTGTGCCTAGTTACCATGCAACCGTAAGCAGGATCAATAAGCATCAACCAGCAAATAGTTTGAAATCCAAAAAAGCTGCAAAACGACTAGATGGCTTTCTAGTTTGTGGGGTGAAAAAAACTCAACTCAACTTAAAAAAAATGATTTTCAAATGATTTTTTTTTTATAATTTCAAGTCAAATTATTCAAATTGTTCAAGTTATTCGACAACTTGAATTTATTGTTTAAATTTCAAATATAAATTAAATTTGAATTTATAAAACTCAAATAACCAAAAGATCAAAATTAAAACAAAATTGTGATTTTCGTCTAAGTAATTTAATTATTTTGTGATTTTTGATCAATGGTTTTTTTTTGTTTATTGAATTTCTCATTAAATTTATGTTTATTTTTTTTACCAAATTTGAATGAAATGCTTCTCAACCATTTTAGAATATTGTATAATTTTAACTGTTCTTTTTGACTATTTTTTTCTTTTTACAATTTAATCCCTAAACTTTGTACTTTATTCAATTTGATCCTTCAACTATAACTCTTAACAAATTCTTTCTTTCCCTCATTTACTTGATTCCCTTAATTCTCTCATCAACACATTATAGACAATTATATTTAAATTTGAAAATAAAATCGAACAAATATATTCAATTCAACTCAATTAAAATTCTATAAATTTAATTTGAAAAATAAATAAATAAAAAAGTAATATTCATACATTCAAATAACTTAAATATTTTAAGCTTGATAGAATACTCACCAGTGACCTCTACAAATTTCATCAGGAAGATGAATTTTAGCCTAGAACACGTTATGCATGACAACCTTAAATATTAAGAAGCAGTGCCCAGGCCAATAAGGAAAAGAAAGTAAATCGACATATGAAGTGACAGATCCAGGCCAATAAAAAAACAAAAGTGATTCAGCATCTGAAATAGGGTGTACATAACTTTATAACCATTTCTTTTCCTTTCTAGGTTATAACATCTCAAATTAAAAGAGATTTCAACTAGAATTATCTATATATTGTTACCCTGATTTCATCTTCTTAGCGTTAGTCAATAAAACTGTCCAATAATTTTAATGGTCAAAAGACTGATACATTTCAACAAATTAGCAGGTCGAAAACAACGCCTCCGTCGGAAAAATCAAGGGTGGTCAACCAAACAATAATCAAGAATAATGTTAGAAATGATACCCAGTGATCCTATTGACAGCTGCATCCGATGTAGAAATCTCCATGGACTCCAGATTAGGGCAAGAAAACGCAATGCAGGCCAGCATTGTTGCATCCACATCACTGCAAAACCCACCAAGAAACAAAATCAGAAAATTCTTGCAATCCAATAATATTGCAGGGAGAGAAAATATATGATAAAATTCAATGAGTTAAAAATTAACTAATAAAATTTCAAGAATTAAAAATATATTATTAATAGAAAATATAAAAATTATTTAAAATATATGATAATTTAAAAATTTTAGAAGCCGCTTCCGCTAGCGAGTCGGACTTATCCCGGTTATGGGCTATGGTATAGCTCTCCAGTAAAATAAAAATGTCAAAGTTTTGGCTTATTTTTTATTGCTAAGCTAATCCAAAAGAACACGGTTAAAACAGTTCTCGGATCGAGCACGATTTTTGCAGCTCTCATGGTTTTTCCTAAATCTATGTTAATTTCATCCTCATTTCACTGATGCTTTTCCTGTGAATATAATCAGGTCAACCCACATTTCAAGATTTTAATTTTATCTCCGTATCAAACATCCGATCCAGTCTATAAAACCCTAGATATGTCTAGATTAGTCTTTTTTTTTATGATTTTAACTTTGGTTTCAATGTCTATTAACTGATCCAGTCCATAAAACCTTAGATCTTTCAAGATTAGTTTAGACCGAACCTTTCCACCTTAAGAGAAAGGTTAATAAGGCCCGGGCATTTCTGTAAAACTGATCCGATGAATCTAAGCTGAGCCTCAGGGCGGACCAAAAGCCTCAGCTCCTCCACCGCCCTCCACAGTCTCTTTGTGGTTTCCCTCCACCCTTTACACACACTCCCAGCTGCCAACAGCCCCACCGGAGGCAACCTCCGGAGAATCTCCCACAGACACCCTACCGGTAACCCACCGGAGACTATTTCACTATCTGGATCCGGATCCCTACCGGGGAAGGGATTATCGTAGCCATCTAAATCGTGTTGCGTCGTGTCACAACGGATATCGACGTCGTCAAAATCAAGTGCACGTCGAAGATGGGAATATGGTTGACGTGCAGAGTGAGGATGAGGAGGACGGGCTGCAGATGAGGAAGTCTCGGTGTTGGTAGCAGCGGCTGGGGTTGAGGTTGGTGTGGAAGTTAAAGTAGTGGTATTACAGGGGCTTACTTCGCAAACATGGCCTTTCTTGGGCAGCCCACATCTCCCACAGTTGTAACTGCCACGACGTTTGGCCGGTTTTAAATCAAACGCGACGGAAGCGGCGGTTGTTGATGAAGAAGTAATGTGAGGCTGGGGGCAGTGCATGGTCGTCGGGAAATGGACGTGGGGGAAGAGAGAGAAAACGAAGATGTGAAAAAATGATTGGAACGAGACAGAAAAGAGATGGAGCGGAGGATTTGGGCGGGTGGGAGATCAGATGGATGGAAAAAATAAAGGGAGGGTTTGGTCGTAAAAGGCGGGAGATATGGCAAGTTTTCGCGCCTCATTTCGAAACCTGAAGCAAACAGTGAAAGGATCGTTCTTATGATATTTATTTACTGTTTTACCCTCTTCACGTAGGTGTGGAAAACGTTTCTCAGTAATGTAAACACGAGACAAGTGTCAAAAAGATTTATTAGGTAAACAATAATATTGGTCAATTATGTTTGAATTTTTGATAATCTATTTTAAAAACACATTTTAAATTTATATTATCGATTATTATATTTTCATTATCGTAATATTGTTGTTTTATTGTAATGCCGTGTTAAAATATTTTTACGGGATAGAAATCATTAATTTTATTAAAAATAAAAAAATATTCAAATTACAATGAAATTTTACAAACACAATCGTAAACTAAAAGAATATTTTCCTATAATCATTATTATAAGAAAATAATCACTCAATATCACATAAAAGGTTAAAAAATTAACTAAATAAACTCAAATAAAATATGGATACATACAAATATTGCGTCTATAAACAACCCAAAAAAAGGATTAAATTATTGAAAACCCATTTTTTTTAAAAAATAATTAAATATTATTTTAAAACAATTATGACTTTTATTTGAAAAAATTGGTGATTTGAAATTAATTTGAATTAAATATAAAGGAAGTCGTCATCGATATTTGGGTTAGGTAGGTCGAATACCTAAAGACTTCTTTTAAAAATAATTTTAAGAAAAATCATTTTTAAGACAAAATTTCTGTATGTGTTTACCAGAAATTGGATCTAATGGATCTGGGAGTCAATTACGTGTGGGGAAGGATAAGCACCCCCACAGCGCCCGAAAATCGTACTTGATCGCTTACACGTTGTCGTAATAGTGGAAATAATAAAAAGAATATAAAATTAAAATATGATCCGTTTGTTGAATATTGGTTAGTTTGTTTCGACCTAATGATTAGGGAATTCTTAAGTTTGAAAAGAAATCTCGAGATTAGCAATCTTTGTCGGGAAAGTTATCTCATCTATTTTTTTGTCTAAAAAAATATTCCCTCCTCGATAACAATGCAAATCGAATATAAATTGACAGTCAATATTTACGTAAAATAATATAAATTGCCATTTAAAGAAAAAAATGCATTGCAATATTTGAATAAAAATTTAATTAATAAAATGAACTAAATTTATTTCAAGTCTCATTTCGTTATAATGTCGTATCGGATTGTACCACTTCGATCAAGTGATACTTTGCACGCCCGTTCTACAAATAAGTTCTTGAAATTAATCAAAACAAATCGATAGATAAAGAACACAATGAAAACAAATACAATTTGAAATTATAAAATAAATATTTAAAACGCATAAAACTAATAATGTATCTAAAATAATACGAGAGTTGTTATATACAAAATACATATACAATGAAAGACTAGAACGAAGTAAAATAAAAAAAATTACAGATCTAAACACAAATAACATAAAGAATCATATTTGATGATTTTAAGGGAACAAAATAAAACAAAACAGAAACTTGAGAGGCTAAAATAGCAAAAAAAACATAAATTTAAAGGACTAAAATAGCAAAAATAAAAATTTAAAGGACTAAAATAGAAAAAAAAAAAGAAATTTAAAGGACTAAAATAGTAAAAATAGAAATTTAAAGGACTAAAATAGTAAAAACATAAATTTAAAGGGCTAAACAGTAATTACAAATAAACCAGAGCCAAAATCCAAATATTAAACAGTACAGGTACTAGAAATGAAAATAACCATAAATAATATAAAGGACTGAAATGAACTAAAAAAACATAAAGGACCAAACATTAATTAAACCAAATGCCAAACAGTGGCTAAAATAAAATATTTATAAATGTCATAGCCAAATTCGAACATCAAAGAAAATATCATAACACATTAAAACAGTGACCAAATCATAAACGTAGGAAACTAAAGGGTCAAAGTAGAATGTAATCAGATTTCAATTAATGGTTAAAACAAAGCATTACAAACTGAGAAGGAACTAAACTGTTATTAGACCCTTACATAAAACACGCTGAAACCCTTCCCCATATACGACGCCATTTCGAATATGATATTTATGCATATCACTTAAGCTAAAATGGCTCAAACCACCCATTTGTTTCGTCTCACCCCACACCAGAAGAGAGAAAAATGAGAGAGTTCTCTCAACTCTCTCATCAGGGAGAGAAATGGTCGTCGTCGTCGGCAGTGCTCATGGTGGCAATCACGACGATCGAAGAGAGCCAAACATCCCAAAACCTCTTCTCTTCTCCTTTAACCCCAAAACTCAACCCTAAAACTCACCCCCTCTAGCCTAAAATCACCCCTAAACCCCAGATCTAACGCTTTACCTTTCAACAAAATTGAGAAACCGATGACCCTTCGGCTTCCTGGTGAACTCCGAACCATGGTATGATTCTTTCCTTTTATCTATTTTGATATTTGCTTTTAATGTTTTTTCTTTGCTCTATGTTCTTTTTTTTTTGAAAGTTCTATATGTTTTTCTCTCTATAAAACTACTCTCCCTCCCCAAATATTTTCTCTTTTTCTGCTTTTTTATGTTGCATGTGCCTCTGATGATGGATATAATAATGCTACCAAGGAGATCTCCTTGGGAAGGCTGCCTTAGATTTGTTTTTTGTTTTTATGGGGTTGCTTTGACATGATTGGCCTACTTTTTTTATTGTTGATGTAGATTACTGCCATTTGATGTGATGACAGCGGTGGGAACGATCGGCGATAGCAGTAATGGCAGGCGACGGTAGTAGCTAGTTAGGGTTAGGTTTTAGAAACCCTAATTAGGTCGGTCAAATATTGGGCCTCGGGTCGGATCCGTGTAACTAAGTCTCCTGTTGGGCTTCGAGTTTGGGCTTGTTTGGGTCTTGGGTTGGCTTGTCACTTGTACTGGGCCTACTTGTAATCAGGCTTTAAATTAAGCCTGTAAAAATATAATTTAGTTATTAATAATAAAATTAATAATAATAAATAATAATATTTTTTCGACCCGGACAAAAACGGGCGTCTACAGCTGCCCCTCTTTGCATATTATTGTGTTAACAATAATAGGGCAAAGACGAAAAAGACAATTTTTTTGTCTTGTTATTTTTTTGGTTTTGAAATTTGATAGTGTTTTTATTGGGGACGACATGGCTCATACGTGATTAAGAGGTCTAGTCGTCTAAGGGTGACACGACTCCTACGTGATGAGGAGATCTGGTCGGTGGATGACACGGTTCTTACACAATAAGGATTGTAGGCCATCTTTAGGGAGGGTGATAACACGTTCCTACGCGATAAGACAACTGGTTATCTAGGGGTGACACGACTCCTATGTGATGAGGAGGTCTGGTCGGTGGATGACACGGTTCCTATGTGATGAGGATGACATACCATCTTTAGAGATGATAACATAATTCCTACATGATGAGGATGACTGCTTACCTAAGGGTGACACGGCTCTACGTGATGAGGAGGTCTGGTCAGGGGATGACACGGTTCCTACGCAATGAGGATGATATACCATCTTTATGGATTTATTTCAAGAGAAACATACTCAAAGTTGATGCTTCAAGAGAAGCTGTCTCAAGAGAGACAAAATTCTTTTCAAGGGAAACTATCTCAAAGATTGGTGTTTCATGAGAAATTGTCTCAAGGGAGACAAATTTTTTTTCAAGGGAAACAATCTCAAAGGTTGGTGTTTCATGAGAAATTGTCTCAAGAGAAACAAGATTTGTTTCAAGAGAAACATACTCAAAGATGGTTTTATTTCAAGAGAAAATGTCTTAAGAAAGACAATATTTTGTTTTAAGAGAAAAATACTCAAAGATTGTGTTTCAATAGAGACTGTCTCAAGAGAGACAAATTTTTGTTTAAAAGATAAAGACTCAAAGATTGTGTTTCAAGAGAAACTGTCTCAAGAGAGACAAAATTTGTTCAAGAGAAACAATCTCAAAGTTTGCCAATTTTGTTTCTAGTGAAACAATTTCAGGATTTGTGTTTAAAGGGGAAAATGTCTCCAGCCAGACGAATCGGTTTTGAAAATCTCAAGTGCGATTAATTTTGTTCCAAGTACATCAACCTTGAAATTTGTATTTCGAGAGAAACTGTTTCAAGTGAGATATAATTTGTTTTGAGAAAAATTGTCTCAAGCGAGACAAAATTTGTTTTTATAAAAAGTCTCATGCAAGTCACAATTTTGTTTTGAGAAAAACACCCTCAAAGGCGATAGATAGTTCTTATTCTTGCATATTGAGGAAATGTCTTCAGAAGATCTGATTGTTCACTTTAGGATGTTAAATATGTAGATGAAATTGTTTCTTCAGGTTAGAGACATCTAGTCATTTCCGACCATTGATTTCCTGAAATATCAAAACGATGCATTTATGACTGATTATCTTGGATGTTTTATGGGTGTCATGATGAAGTTTGTATTTTATTTGATGAATTATTGAATTTGTCCTCAAGAGAGGGAAAATCAGAGTCTTTATTGCACTTAATGATGAATGCAAAGATGCAAATTTCATGTGTCATGTATGTATGTGTTGATGTATGTTTGTCTTGATGTATGTTTTCTCGATTTTGAAGGAGAATGGTTGTGAGCACAGTCTTCACTCTATCCTTGATTTAGTTTGTCTTCATTTTCACCAGGGTGTACTCTTGCAAACCTCAACCTGAGACAATTTATTTTCCTTTCCCCCATCAAATTTTGCCCCAAAAAATTTGGCTTACTTTGCCTCAACTTCGATCTTGAGCTTTGGAGAGATCTTCGTTGAATTCCAAGATACTTCCAGAGAACTTATCTTGTTTGAAAATGTATTTATTCCTTTGAATTTTCAAAATTTTGAAAAATATTAAAAGGAATTTTGAAAAATATTGTCTCCTTCTA